ATTATTTTTTATAGATATCTTTGCGGCATCCGAGTTTTTTCTTTTGGCCACTATGTCGTATGATCGGTATGTGGCCATCTGCAAACCCCTGCATTATATGACCATCATGAGCATCAGAGTATGCAGAACAATGGTTATCTGCTGTTGGGGGATAGCCTTTTGTATTATCCTTCCCCCATTTAGCTTAATTGCAACTCTGGAGTTCTGTGACTCTACTGCCATTGATCATTTTGGCTGTGATGCACCACCTCTTCTGGAAATCTCATGCTCAGACACATGGTTAGCTGCGCGGATGGTTATAGCCTGTGCTGGACTGATCTTCATCATTACTCTTGTATGTGTCGTTCTTTCCTACATCTCTATCATGAAGACAATCCTAAAATTCCCTTCTGCTAAACAGAAGAAAAAGGCCTTTTCCACCTGTTCTTCCCACATGATTGTAGTTTCCATCTCCTATGGAAGCTGCATCTTCATCTATCTCAAAACTTCTGGAAAAGAAGATGTGGAGATTAATAAAAGTGTGGCATTGCTTATTGCATCCATATCACCAATGCTGAATCCTTTTATATATACCCTGAGGAATAAGCAGGTTAAACAAGCTTTTATTGATTTAATTAAAAAAATTGCATTTCTCTCCAAGAAATAAAGTGTTCCTAAGTTCATAAATGAATGTGAATTATGCATATTGACTTTATATTTTTCATGGATATAATAAACACATATGTAATTACTTAACCTATAGAACAATGAGGTTGATCCTACTGCCATTTAATCATTTTTTCTCAACCATTCATTAATGAACAAGCAATTACTTACCAATGCTCTGTAGGTGATAAAAAGTCCTGCAGTTAGAAAATTTAATTGTTAAATTACTTATTATCTTGTTTTTAGTTACTGTTGAAGATTTATAATATGTGCATTCACAGGTCTTTTTAACAAAACAGGCCCCCCACCACCATTTTTTTTAAATGAAATATTTTAAGTAACAGACTTTTAAAATTCCACTGTAAATAGAAAATATAATGAATAATATTGAACAGAAAATGTTCTGAAAATGATTGTGGTGATGATTGCATAACTCTTAATATAATTGAATGATTTAATTAAATGGTATGTGATATATACATTAATCAAATTATGCTTAAAATAATAAATAGAATTAGCTCTTCAAAAGAGTAAGCTTCTGACATAATTCATAAGAAAGGGTTGATAACATCAATATATAAGGAGTTTCTATGAATCAGTAAAAAAAACTAAAAAAACATATATAGTAAGGTAAAATAAATACAAATATTTATCCTAACATGAAATAATGTTCTGCTTTATTAGAAATCATTGATTTTCAGATGAAAACTTTGTTATTTAATCCATTAATCACGTGTACAAAAGGCAATTATTTTGATGATCTGTAGTATTAGCATGTTTGCAAAAAATAGCCACTTAAATACATATATTTTTGGCAACATTAGACTTATTTATCAAAAGTACATGTAATCTTTCATCTGTAAAATCTCAGCCTAGGAATTTATGGCATACCTGTCCAGTAGCCTGAAATGCATATCTAATCCTACTGATTTCAGTCAATTTTTAATAATAAAGAATTTGGGACGGCAAAATGAACATCATTTTGGTAATGTCTAAGTCAATTAAGAAATTATGGTGCAAGATAACAGTATTTACCAAAATATTAGATCTTATTTTTAAAGAAATATATTAAAATTCTTTGTATGTATAGAGAAAGTTTCAGGAGCTGACATAAATTATTATATTATTTTAAAAAAAGAAAATAGGAAAAGTATTTTAACTATACCTCTACACACTCAGAAAACCAAATTCCACAGGCTAACATACAATAGAAAATTAATGAATCTTTGATGCTGATGAAAGAACATTTATAAAATGCGGTTATATTTAATATATATTAAAAATCATTTTATTGGGGGCTCGTACAACTCTTATCATAATCCATGCATACATCCATTGTGTCAAGCACATTTGTACATTTGTTGCCATCATCATTCTCAAAACATTTGCTTTCCACTTGAGCCCTTGATATCAGCTCCTCATTTTCCCCTCCCTCCTCACTCCCCCCTCACTCCTGAACCCTTGATAATCTATAAATTATTATTATTTTGTCATATCTTACCCAGTCTGACATCTCCCTTCACCCACTTTTCTGTTGTCTATTCCCCAGGGAGAAGGTTATATGTAGATTCCTGTAATTGGTTCCCCATTTCCATCCCATCCTCCCTACACTCTCTGGGTATCGCCATCTCACCACTGGTCCTGAAGGGATCATCCATCCTGGATTCCCTGTGTTTCCAGTTCCTATCTGTACCAGTGTACATCCTCTGGTGTAGCCAGATTTGTAAGGTAGAATTGTGATCATGACAGTGGGGGAGAAGCATTTAGGAACTAGAGGAAAGTTGTATGTTTCATCATTGCTACCCTGCACCCTGACTGGCTCACCTCCTCCCCATGACCCTTATGTAAGGGGATGTCCAGTTGCCTACAGTTGGGCTTTGGGTCTCCACTCTGCACTCCCCTTCATTTACAATGATATAATTTTTTGTTCTTTGATGCATGATACCTGATCCCTTCAACACATTGTGGTCACACAGGCTGGTGTGCTTCTTTCATGTGAGCTTTTTTGCTTCTGAGCTACGTGGCTGATTGTTTATCTTCAAGCCTTTAAGGCCCCAGATGCTATATCTTTTGATAGTCAGGCACCATCAGCTTTCTTCATCACATTTGCTATGCACACATTTGTCTTCGACAATCCTGTCGGAAAATCTTGAAGAATTCATGCATTTCCAAGTAAAACTGAGCTCCATAGGACTTTTTTTACATTAATATTTATGATAATTTATCATCAGGCATTTTTATTTGGCATCTATCAGTAGGTTTAAAATATTATCCTTTTAGTCTGTACCTAAGCTCAAATCATTTGCAGCTTGGCCGAATCTTAATGGAGAACAGTTTCATTATTTTAAGGTTGATTTAAAAAAAAGTTCAAGTATTAAAAAAACAACAAAACAACACCATTTTATTATGAATCGGGAGAAGCTTTATAGAGCAAGTCAGTTTTTCACTCAACAATTCATACACATTTTGTTTTATCATTGATTTTAATATCCACAAAGTAACCTCACTTATCCCCCATCCTTACTATGTTTTCTGCTTCCATTCCAACTTCATCTCTAACCATCCTGAACTTTGTCTTGGTGTGGGTACCACCCTCTTGGTACCAAATGATTGGTTATTCGAAGATGTGCATGTCTCACTAGTAGAATTATCAACCCCTTACAATGTTTGGTTGTAAATTGAACCATGGGTATGGAGGGTTTCAGTGCCAGATTTGAAGGAGACAAAGGAATAATAATTTCACAGATGCCACCAGTCTTTGCCAACAAGTCAACTTGGTCTTAGGGTTTTAGGTCTTGTTCCACATTTTTCTCCATCTCTACCCATGACCTGTTAATGTGATCACTTTCGGAGTAGTTAGTCATAGTAACAGGCGCCCTCTAATCCTTCTCTTCTCAGGGTGATGGAGACTGACATGGAAGTGCTCTTTTAAACTATGAAATGATTCTTTCATTGCTTCTTCAAATAGTTGCACCTTAGATGGCTATTCATTAGCTTTGTAAAACAATCATTTTATTGGAGGCTCAAACAATTCTTATCACAATCCATCCATCCATTGTGTCAAGCACATTTGTACATTTGTTGCCATCATCATTCTCAAAACGTTTTCTTTCTACTTGAGCCCTTGATATTAACTCGTCATTTCCCTCCCACCTCTCCTTCATGACCCCTTGATAATAAGACCCCAGTGGCTACTCAGTCAGGTAGGATGTAGAACATTGTCTTTGTGGATTATGTTAAGTTTAACCAACCTTAATGTCCCCTGGGACTATGATCCGGAACCCGAGGTGCTGTGACTCACTCCTGTAAGGTGTTTGGATCTGTCTAAGAAGTTTTTTCTAATAACTTTGTCCCATATATGCTCCACAATATTCATGGTTCTATTTGTAGCAAAGATAAATGCTAATGCACAAATATCCTGTCAAATATGTGTGTGAGTATTTGTGGGTTTACTTCCACTCTCCTTCTCACACCATTTTGCCTGTGTGTCTATCCATGCATCATTGTTGCAGGATTATGTATATAAAAATATTTTGGTATATTTCACATTTGCAGTTCTTCCAGTTTGCTTCCCTACATTCATCATTTTTAGCTGACCTCTGTCTTATTGCATAAGTGTGATTCAAACCCACTAGCTACTCTGCAGGGGAAAAATGAGGTTGTCTGTTCTCATGAACTTCACTGTTTCATAAACAGTGCTCTGAGTCAGAATCAACTTTCTGGCAGTGACTTGCCACCTTCACAGCCTTTTCCCTCTCACCTCTGGAAAATATTAAAGAAGGTGCCATAAACCTTAAGGGGCAGTTCTAATCTGTCAAATAGAGTCTCTATGAAATTGAATTAACTTTATAGCAGTTTCTTTTGCTTTCTTGTTTTGGCTTTTCTTTGCTTTTAAATGGCTAAGGGTTGTGACCATATATTTATGTTTATTGGCAGTGAATAGAATGCTGCCTATTTCATTTCTCATGAATGTCATTTGCAGTTTTTTCTTTTCCCTCATATGATTTGATAGTTTTATTAATCTTTTCAAAAAACCATACTCTAGTTCAGTTGATTGTGTTGTTGCTCTGTGTTAGTTACTTATGCTCTAATCTTTATTCATTTTCATCTAGTGACAGTGGACTAATTTTCTTGCTCAAAACTTAAATGTTGGAGACACTAAGCACTGATTTTGTTTCTATCTTCTTTTTTGATGTGTCTGTTTATTATATAAGTTGCAATTTGAGCACCGATTTTGCTGTGTCCCAATATTTTTGGCAAGTTGTGCTTTTACTCTTATTTGGTTCAATGATTTTTTTAAATTTCTTTTTATTTGTTCTATTATCCAGTAAATTCTAATCAGGATATTATTCAAGTTTCATATATCTGATTTATCCTGTTACTGTCTATAGTTGCTTTCTTACTTTATAGTGTTGATATCTGAGAATATTTTTGCATTATTTTGATGTTTTTTTAGTGTATTAAGGTTTTCACTGTGACCTAACATATGTTTGATTCTATACTAATGACCCATGTGTGCTGGGAAAGACTGCATTTTGTATAGTTGATAGCTGGAATGTGCTGAACATGTCGATGATGCCAAACTAGTTGATTTTGCTGCTTAGTTCTTTTGTGCTTTTGTTGAATTTTCTTTCTAATGATTCTGTCTTTCATTTAAAATTGCGTATTAAATTCTCTTACTATTTTATAGAGTTGTCTATTTTTCTCTTAAATTTTATTAGAAATCTTGTTTTCTTTTTGTTTGTTTTTCCCTCTCTTGCCTTCCCTCCCCATGTTAGAGCTTACAATAGATATGTTGAAGCAGTTTCACTGGGTCATAGACTTACATTATATGGTTTTATAGTCTGGTACAATTGTCCCTTTAATAATCATACAATTGTATTCTTTGTTTCTAATGCTGGTTTTGTTAATATCTATTTAATCTGAAATTCATATGCCTCTACTGTTCTTTTTGATTGTCGTTAGCTTGATATATTTTTCCATGACTTGTCTTATAGTTTT